CCACCCTGAGTGAGCTGTCATCAGTCCGCCATTGTTTCACCGCTGGAGCAGATGTAGACAAGAATGACTCCTAACAAGCGATTGAGGTGTTCTGTTGTTGGATGTAATAATGAACATAGCAGTCGTCATTTACTCCCGACATCTGAGCCGCAGAAGACGCAGTGGATTATTTGTTTCTGAAGGGAATGCGCCCCCGATCTACATAAACCCGTCTATGTTCGCGCGAATCATTCATGATCCATCCTCATCTACAGAAGAAGTGAGTATAATGTTTTGTAATGAATCTTTGCAAATCGCCTTTCCTAATAATGTGCTAATTAGCAAGTTTCACGATGAATGCGGCCAAAGTAAACGGTAAACAGTCTCTAAAAGCAGCTCGGAAGAGAGGGGCGGGGTCAGCAGAGCTCATTAACATTTAAAAGAAAATGCTACAAAAACCGGCTGTTTTTGACAGGGTAAAAAAAGGTGGGGGTTTTTTTACACTACCGTTGAGAAATTTTAACCAAACTATGTTACGGACTTTTCATTAGGACCCTAAAGAATCATCAACTTGTGGAAAATGGGCATCATATGACCCCTTTAAGCTAAGAATAAGGGCGGGGTTGACCTCGTTGCTATGGGTGATGTCAAGCTATGCACACAGTGATTGGCTGATAGTCTGTCAGAGATTTATTCATAGAAATATTGTAGAGCGCAATATTAAGTTGCCATATTCAAATAAAGGTTTAAAAATGATGATAACTGCCACATTCAAATAAAGATTTTAAAATGCAGACTAAATGTCTCTAATTAAACAAGTATATGTTCAGTTAATTGTCAGTCTCTTACATGTGTGCTTCTCATAAACTATTAGCGGATATGCATATAAACAGCCTTTTAATTAGCAGAGTAGAATAATCATGACTGATAGTAAGACATAAAAACATCAAAACAAAAAAAAACTGAACGCAAGAACAGCTGTTACTTCTTGCCCAACTGGTTAAAGCAGCACTATGTAACTTTTTCTGTTCAAAATCTGCAAAAAATGTATATAATGAGCGAGTACATCATGAATTAATCTTCCAAACCGTGTTTTTGTCTTATTCCGAATCACTACGGTACACTTGTAAGAAGTACTTATATTTGGACTATTGTAGCCTGGTCGGGTCGTCACCGCTGCGGAGTAACACATACCTGCGTGAATCGCCATAGACATAAACTTAAAGAAGTAGCTCCGGTTGGAATGTTCTTCCGCGGGATGTGTGCAGTTCTGTTTATTAACCGCTAGAGCGCCAAAAGTTACATAGTGCTGCTTAAATGAAAACAAAGATATAATCAAAGTTAAATTAGGAGTTGGGGTAACCTCCAAAACCAAAGGCGATACCTTTTTAAAAGGTCATTATCATCAAATGTTTCTAAAATTTTTACATTCCAAGGCAGATTGCCGGCAACAGCCATTTTAGGATAGTTTGTGGCTTGGTTTTAGTGACTTAGGAGTCCTCTTCACTACTCCTAACGTTTCACAGATTTAGGAGCTAACGTTAGTTTTAGTGCTAAAACGCTTTGTGAAATACTCTTAGAGCGAAAATGTAGGCGTCCTAAATTTAGGACTGACGCCCATTATTTTAAAGATTTTCTCCTAAATAGGCGAGTTATGAGCTACTTTTAGCCTTAAGATGTTTTGTGAATACGGGCCCTGGTCTATTAGTACACAGAAGAGCACTATAAGAAGTTAATAGATTCAGAACTATAACCTTTAAAGAACAACAAAGTTATCCAAAAGAAATGCACAATCTCTAGGGTTCTAATGTGGCATTTTCTCACCTTTCGACAGTTTTTCCATAATCTGCCGTATATAATATGTGACCCTGGACCACAAAACCAGTCTTAAGTCACTTGGGTATATTTGTAGCAATAGCCACAAATACATTGTATGGGTCAAAATTATTGATTTATTTTATGCCAAAGATCATTAGGATATTAAGTAAAGATCATGTTCCATTAAGATGTTTTGTAAATTTCCTACTGTAAATATATTAAAACTTAATTTTTGATTAGTAATATGCATTGCTAAGAACTTCATTTGGACAATTTTAAAGGCGATTTTCTCAGTATTTTGATTTTTTTTTTTTTTTGCACCCTCAGATTCCAGATTTTCAAATAGTTGTATCTCGGCCAAATATTGTCCTATCCTAACAAACCACACATCAATGGAAAGCTTATTTATTAAGCTTTCAGATGATGTATAAATCTCAATTTCGAAAAATGTACCTTTATTGGTGGTCCAAGGTCACATATGAGAATGCTATAAATACAATGTATAGTATCTTACAATGGAAATAACTTTGATGAAGTGTTTCATATTTTGCTTTAATGCTCACTAATGCTCATTTCCATGTATGTGCTTCTCATATCCGTGAATAAAGGCAACATGCTGGTTATTTAATCATTTTCCTGTGTCGTGGATTTGTTTACCTCATTGCCCAGCTATTTTCTGCAGTTCTGCAATCGTCCCTACCCCCATTTTCCCCGAACACACACACAATACAAGAGTAACTGACCATTCAAATTACCACAGCGTCAATAAAAGCGTCCTCTGCTGCCCGAAAAGAAATCCTGCATCCATCATCTCATTTCAGGAAAGCGGATGTACGGCGTCACGTGCTGTAAGAGCACGCGGATCCTGTCGCAATTTGGCGCGCTTTGTGTTTGAATTTGCACAGCGTTCTGACTCTCCAGTCAGCTCTTTTACGTGCGTGAGTATAAACTTTTAATTAACTTAAAACAAAGTTACTAGTACACGTAGTAATACGCAAACATTCATTGCTCACATTTCTAAGAGTCTGATTATATAACTTTTATGTATGCATGATTATCATTATTTAATATAAAGCGGCTAATGGAGTTGTAGGTCTTATAGTAATATCTCCATTCATTCTTAAGATTAAGTGGTGAGTTATTAACCTTCATGACTTTAAGCATAGTTGGTCTTTAGTTAGCAAATTTAAACTTAAATTCATTAGCAAGCCAAAGATACAAGGTCAGGAAAATAATAAATAAATAAATCTACCTTCTCAGAATTTACAAACCACAAGCTACAAGTTATTGATCTTGTTGTGTACAATTCATCTTTGTATATTTTTTACCTCATAATTTCCAATAAAATGTTATAACAATCTTTTAGAGGAGCAACAGACTTCTCATTTAGTCATCTTAAACTCTGTTCCTTTCTTGCAGTTGAACCAATGGATAGAACCAAGAACCCATCCTGCATTTGATCTTTTTCAATAATTTATGTCCCTCGAATACACAATACAGAAGAAAAGAGCTGTCATTACTTTCTATATCGTGATTTTAATGTAATACCAACCAAATAATTTTAAAAAGTGGCAGAATTTCTTTAAAAAACACTATTTTTATGTTTTTTTCGGGGCTGAATTGTTTGTAGTATTATAAAAATGATAGTACCATCAGTTACGTTGATGTCAGGAGTGCAAATGCCACTTTTGGGTTTGGGCACATACAAGCTCCAGGACCATGAGCAGCTGAAAAAATCTGTCAGTTCTGCACTTCAAGCTGGATACAGAGCCTTTGACACAGGTGCAGTTTATGGAAATGAGGCACATCTAGGGCAAGTCCTCAAAGAGCTGCTGCCCAAGTATGGCCTAAGCCGTGAAGATGTGTTCATTATCAGCAAGCTTGCCCCGTTAGACCATGGGCCGAGGGCAAAGGAAGGCTGCCTGAGGAGTCTGGAGCAACTAGACTGTGAATACATCGACCTCTATCTAGTGCACTGGCCTGGGGTGGAGGGTCTTGACCCAGGGGATTCTCGTCATTCAGAGTATCGAGCGCAAAGCTGGGCGGCCGTAGAGAAGTTCTACGCCAGCGGGCGATTCAAGGCCATAGGGGTTTCAAACTACACTGCAAAGCACATTATGGAGCTGCTCATGAGTTGCCGCATCCCCCCAGCGGTTCTTCAGATTGAGTGTCAACCGAAGCTGATTCAGAGGGAACTGAGGGAATTATGTATGGAGACAGGCATTCACTTCCAAGCCTACTCTTCGCTGGGTAAAGGAGCTCTCCTGAGGGAGCCTGAGGTACTGGATATAGTGAGGAGCTGTGGTCGGACCCCTGCCCAGGTTCTCCTGAGGTGGGCTGTGCAGCAAGGCATCTCAGTTCTGCCTCGGTCCTCGCAGCCGTGCAGAGTGCAGGAGAATGCACAGGTGTTTGACTTCCAGCTAAGTGAGATGGATATAATGAGGCTGGATGCCTTGAACTGTGGAACAAGGTTTTGTAAACGAGACTCTAGCAAAATAGCTTAAGCCTGAACATATAACAATTTCTTTACTGATCCCAAGGCAAAATAAATGTAAAATCCAGCAAATTAAATTATCATTGTAAATAGAGTCAATGATGTGATGCTTGCTTTAGTAGTATTAAAAATAAATAAAAATGCAATTTTTACATGCAATGACTTGAATACACCATTGATGAGCATGTGAATTACGTTTTTTTTTTTTTTCAATTAAAAGTCAAAAATATGGTGATACGATGTATTTTTATGCATAATTCACCTTTTTATGTGCATGGTTAATTTAGGTTGTATAAGGTGGTGACCCACCAAAAATTAATATTTGAATTAATGACAAAAAAAACAAAGATTAATACAAAGATTTGCCTGTCTTCTTTATCATGGACACTTTGACCAAATAACATAACACTAAATTCAGCCAGAAAATCTTTTATTTTTGACCACAAAATTATAGAAAAAAGATCAAAACTTGTGATTGTTTTAAAAAGTATTTAAACAGTTCATCCATTACTCAATCTATGGTAACGAGTATAAATATGTACAAGAAGCTTGAAACAGGAATGAAAGTATCATCAAGGCTGATAGTACAGAAACAGAACTTGTGTTGTTCATCTGCACATACGTTTGGCAGAAATTGAATGTTGTTTTACATACAAGACCAGCAGATGGAATATAAAAAGAAAAAATCCAATAGAGACTACAGACAACTCTACAATCAAGAAATATGTACATGAAAGGCAGTGAGGAATTGTTTTCCTGGTGACATATCTAAAGAGATGGCAGAACAATTGATTTCATCCAATCTTACTAGTTATTCACCACAACAGTTTGGCATTAAAAAACAAACCTGAGATGCAGCAACAAATTAACTGAAATAACCTTACCCGTATTATTGTTACCATCACTAACCTGTACTTCACACAACTGACTTTATCCAGTGTCACAGTCCTTGAATTATATTTACATTTTGCAAGCAACAGCTCCAGCCTTTAGTACAACAAAACGCACATCTATATATCCATCTATAAAATACATCATAGAACACATTTCTTTGTCAAATATGAATTTAATACATATCAATAAATAGTTTTTAAATAGTTTCATTTTTTGAATCAGTATATAGCAAGATTGTCCAATGAACTGTAATATTTTAGAAGAGATTGTCCCTCTTAAGATTGTCAAATTGAATTAACACTGACAATTCCTTTATATAAACGTACGTTATTGCAGAGGTATACCATTCTCTCAGATTGGTTTTGTACTAGCTTGAGCACATTGATTGACAAAAAGGCCATGATGGTGATCAGACCAGCCTTCATCTGAGTGCAGCTCTCTGGTAACTGTTATTATGGTGTTTAAAGCATGACTACTTCATTCTCTGCCCTCCTCTTCTTTGGGACTCCAGAGGAACGAGAACCATCCTCGGTAGGTCTGTTTCTGGCTGTTCGCTCTTTTGACCTCCTAGGAACAACGAAACGACTTAATACTAAGTTTAAAGTCTATTAAATAGAAATGCATTCAGTGTACCATATAGCAAGCTCACCCCTTTGTCGAGCCATGTGTCAAATTCATCGCTCATTCTCCTCAGCTGTCGCCCGTACTTCTTTGCTTTCCACAGCGCAGCAGGAGCAGATTGAGAACGACCTCTGAATGGAAGTCCATCTCCCGTTCCTCCGTTCTCCTCCGCCAATGCTCCATCCTGGGGCTCTGCTTCCTGCCAGCGGCTCACCGTATACACCTGAGACTCCGAATAGAGCCGCACACGCCCTGCAAAAGCACGTCGTCACATGTTAACAGAAACATTCGTTAAATCTAGGTCAATCTATGATGAATATCCTGAAACTCTGACCTGTTTAATGGCTAGTGTGGTTCTCTGAAGCTCTCACCTTGAGGAGAAATGTTTGGCAAGGTTTGATCCTGATGTTGTCCTTGGTTTTTGATTGTCTCTTCTCTTCCTTTCTTTTTGTCATTCCAGGTGCTGGAATCATCTTGATGGTCATGCAATGTGTTATCCATTGTAAGAGCTGGTGATTAGAGAATAGTATGATATTAATATTGCAATTTAAAGGGGATAAAACAATTAATGATCTAATATTATTTGGTATTAAATGATCAACTCTGACTGTTAGATGAATTTCTTAAAATTGAGACTAGCATTCGCTGGTTTTCCTAAATACATACCTGTGGATCTGGACGAATTCCAGGACAATAGATATGAATGTGCTCGTCTCAGTTGTCAGTGGCACTAGATGCTATTCCTTCTTATCTCCAGTACGATTAAGAGTTGCTTCTCCAGTTCTCAACATATATTGATTGCCTCATGGCATGTGACACACCCAAACAACAACAATAACTATAATTGCTACTTTATATAAGTTTCATATTTCTAAGGTTGAGTCGTGCTCATCTGAAAACGTCGTCGGCCAAAAATAATGGAAAAAAGATCCCGTTTTTCGTGACATTTAGTCGAAATGATTGTCTTCTCGCCGCAAGCAGTAGAGTGGCAAATTTCCAGTCCGGTTGTTGTTATCACTACAGTGTGTATGATCTCATTTCGGCTCGGATATTGTTGTTCTTGGTCGTTTACAGTAGCTCTCTGCTCTCGGCCAATCAGAGCGCTCTCGGCTTCTTCGATCAGCCAATCGCAGCCCGCTGCTAAGGTGTTTTGGGCGCTCTCTGATGTAACGTCACTGTTGCGATGGGTTTCGCGAGCCTTTACTGTCCCGTGACTTGTTTACCTCATCCGGGCCCCAGTCTCGCGGAAGAGGATGCAGCCGCCGCGAGAGAATTTGCAAAAGAAACTCTTCGTTTAACTTTGTTTGCATGAAGTGGAGTTCAAAACAGTGCAATTTAGTTGGTGTTGCTATCCGTGTAACAACATCAGTCTTTATACAGAGACAGTATATGCTTTGTTCAGTTATAATTTTAATTAATTTATTATGGAGAGTACTTATTATTGGTCTTTACCCTGAATGATTTGCTGTTTATTATACTGACTTAATTGAAAATTATTTAACACTTGTATTCATTTATATTTTTTTTGGTGTAATTTCTGTTCAAGAATTGTGGTCACAATGTGCATTTTCTCCGTTTGAACTGTAGATGGCAGAAGAGATCTTTGTTGAGTCAACAGAAGGAGTTGGTTATTTCTTTGGTTTGACTCATGCCTGCAGAACACAGAAATATGTTATTAGGACCCATTACTGTGTATTTTTACTGCATATGTTAAATATCTGATATTTTTACTAAGTATATATGGCTGTAGAATGTCCGTGTCTGTTGTACATGCAGGTCAATTTCTTTTTGTAGCTATTAAGACATTCTTGCAGGAACAAAATTGAGAAATGGTTGCTTGATAAATATCATGTTATTCCTGTCATAGACATATAACGTGAAGGCTCACTTTTTGTGAGTTGGATATTCACATTTGACTTAGCAGTTTTAGTTCTCTGCCATGTTTTTCCCATTGTGAATGACTGACAGAGTATGGCTCTTTTAAAACACAAACACAGAGATGTGCACATCCAAATGAGCATTCTGCAGGTGCTTTAGTGAAATTGATGTAAATACATAAAAACGGGTAAAAACAATATATAATGCAGCCAATTTGCCAACTGAATTTGTGAATACAAACTTGCATTGAATTTGAAAAAGATAGATAATGTTTTTGCAGCTGGCAAAAGATGTAGATAGCGAACATTGACAGCATCCTGGATGGACACATGTTTGAGGTCCTTGCAGAGTAATAAAAATGAAGGGTCCTACTACTTTTTATTATATTGTTAGTACTGTTATTTTTGTGTTTTCATTGCGGTGACAGTGCTGCAATAAATAAATGTTAAATAAAAAAAAATAAAACACTATTTTAAACCAGATATGCTGGCCTTAGTTGCCTAACAAGCCTGGCCAAACTGGTCCAGAGATGGCATAAAAGTTTAAAAGTGCCAACACCCTATAAAATCAGCCAACCAGGAGAATGAGAAACCAGCTAAGACAAGTGAACCAGTTTAGGCTTTTTTTTTCTCAGCATGGGAATTTAATTCCACAGCCAGAGACTTTGCCTTCAGGTAATTTTAATTAATGTAAAAACAGAGAAGTGCCGAAATGGAGTTCTTCAAATCACCCTCTTTATTCGTCAACCTATAAAGGAAGATATTTTTATATTCAAACATTATGAATTGGGACGGGGAAAAAAACTGAAGAAAATGTACTAGATGCTAACTTTTTATTACATACAAGTGATTCAATTTGTGATTCTTATTACTGACAAGTGATTCAATAAAACTGCTGCTCACCTTTGGACCACTACAGTTATTGTTTGCAAAGTGTCATTATGGAATCAGTGCCACCAGTAGAGGGGTCAGAGGGTACAAAATTGATTTAGCCCTTCTAATGTGCACGTGTTTTTACACTCTAGCCAACGTAATTAGCATTTCTAATATGTCTATGCAACATCAGTGCCAATTTGATGAATTGTCGTCCAGTGTTGGCTCGCTCTGCCTGCTAGCGACACTCCGGCAAACCTGCACGCGTTGTAGCACAATGTCCCCTCCCCTCTTTCTGCAGTCCACGCTGCTGAAAAAACGCTGCTTTTCGCACCATGTCTCGGACTTCTGCACAATCCCATTCGCTGAAAAAAGAAACAGTGTTCATTTCCATATGACCTTTTCCAGCATACTCCGCCCGTCTCCTCTCCTCCATCCGCATGGCGAGGCTGATGTTGATGCTGATGCGAGTGTATAGTTAGCATCTTCTCATTCACTCCCTCTGGCTCCACACGTCCATGTGCGGCTCTGATCATTCTCCTAATACGTTCCCCTTTCTCTTTCTCTTTTCCCTCCACTGTATAATATAATCTCCGCTTTTTTATACAAAGCCTATTTTTTTTTCAGCACTCTCCTTTTTCCCTAAAATTCCATTGCTGGAAGCAGGCTTTTTATTTTAGGCATTTTTCTAGTGTTTGGAATTATGTGAATGGGCTGTAGCTGGTGTTACTAAACATCTCGAATATCTTTCGTCGGTTACTTTTTTATTCGAATTCGGTTTTAAGTCACGTCTCGTCTTGAACGTAAGACGCTCTTGTGTCTCGCCGCGAGATACAGTTTCTTAAATCAGCCTGGCCTCGAGTCTACAACTTGATTGGATTGTGCGTGTTTATGTTAGTTGTTTTCGTTGTCTGAACTGTCAAATCATGAACGCCACCGCTGTATAGCTCGCGCGCATCACCGCTGCTCCATGGAGACTTGAGCCGCGCGCACCGAGCGCATTCACTGTGAATTAAGCCGAACTACAGAAGAGCAAGTCAACAGCGAGTGTTGGAGTCCACCGGAATACACACACCGTCTTTGTAAGTACAACGAATTTACTCACCACACCACATTATAATGTAACGAATACAGTATTATTAATTGTTACCAACCAGTCGCGAGGTTTAATATACACAAACCTAGCGAGTAACAGACCGCAGCCTCCATGTTTTCAGGTTACTGACGATTCTATGAAAAGAAACTATCACGTTCAGACATCCCACATTTATTAAAGATTATATAGACATTCCTCATTTAAACATACATAATTTTTTTTTCAGGTGCAAAGTTGCTTGACAAATTTTTCTCAGCCTATACAGGAGCTACTCAACAAAATGAACCTCTGTTAACGTACGTCTGTCTGTCAGAGCAGGTAAGATTGACTTTACTCATGTACTAAAACGGTTCAACTGAGTTACTATTCTGTACGCATATAGCTACAATTCCTTCTTAAATGTTTCGCTCTGGCTCCGCATAACTAGTAGTAAGCGCCACATAGTTTTCATACTGGCTGTGAATACTTAGCAGGCACAGTTCTCATGGAAACGCTCTCCTACTCTCACTACAGAGGCAGCCCACCTGTTTCAGATAAACATAGAATGTGATAGGCCAGTATGCTGTGGAATATAGGGAAGCCCTCAGCTTCCAGATCAAAACCAGTATGCTGTGGTATGTAGGGAAACCCTCCGCTTCCAGATGCACTGACTTCAGACCAAAAACTATCCCCATGGGGAGCTTCTTCATAGAATTGAGACATATAAAAAAAAATCCTCTGCATTGTGCTGGTTTATTTCTCTCCCACATTGTTTGTGTGACAATCTCTGGCCGATTTTGGCATGTTTTCCCTCTCTTTTGGAGAGGAGTGTGCTGCTTTTTGCTTTTAAATATTCTACTTTAAGGGATCATTCACCCAAAAATAATTATTTACTGTCATTCAATCCTCATATTGTTCCAAAACTGTATTACTCACTTGCTTCTGCATGAACTCACAAGATGATGTTTTAGTCCATACATAAAACATACAGATGTTTTTGTACCCCATTGACTTTTATTGTATGGACAAAAACATTCTTCAAAAATTCAAAGTTTGTGGTATGCAGAACAAAGAAAGTCATACAGTTTTGGAACGACATGCGCTCTTAAAAATAAAAGTTCTTTATTGGCATTGATGGTTCCATGTAGAACCTTTAACATCTATTGCACCATGGGTTCTTTGGAGCAGAGAAAGGTTCTTTAGATTATTAAAATGTTTTCCCAATAAGAAAAATGGTTCTTTTAAGAACTATTAACTGAAAGGTTCTTTTGGGAACCTTAAATGGTTTTTTTCTATGGCATCTCAGTGAAAAACCCCCTTTGGAACCTTAATTTTTTAAGAGTGTATGGGTGAGTAAATGATGAAGAATTTTTATTTTTGGATCATCTATCCTTTTAACATATAAGCAAATATAACAGATGGTCAGTTTGTCAAACAAGATGCATTTGACAGACCTGCACTCATATGACACAATATCCTCACTAGGGAAATCAATTATGGCTATAATTTTGTTTGTTATATAATTATACTGCATCAAAACAGACTGTAGGCAAATGATACTCCTGCAACTTGCATTTCAAATCAATCCCGTCCATTTTCACTTTAGTTGATGGCATGAAATAGTCTGAAATATCTATTTTTTAAGACTGAATCATATAGTATGTCATTAGCAATGCCTGTGGTGTATATACATCATGTGATCATTAGTGCCACATATATCATGTTTGCTAAAGGCTTGATTTAGTTTTGTTCCCACAATTCATAGTCTAGTATGGCTGATGCCGTCTAGTTGTAAACTGCTATGTGTTCTCCTCTTGGTTTCACTGGCGTTATTTCTTTTCCCCTAATGCCTGGAACCATTACTCACAGCTTGAGCTAATCTTAATGTTTCTGGCGAACTGAAAATAATCCCACTCTTGCTAAAGGCGGAATTCAGAAAGTGGTTTGTTTCCACTGCTGCTGCTTCTTTCATTATGTGGTGTGTCAAAATATTTGTACATCCTCTTGCTCTGAAAGCTCGGGAAGACGTGAATTATGTCGGCCAAGATTTAGAAACCCAATTTTGTTACAAGCATGAGTTTCCATAGGATTGTAAAGCCAGCAAGCCTGTCCAGGGAGCTCCATATGTGGCATAAGAATTATGGGTATAACTGTGTGCAAAACATCCAGAAAATTGGAGGTTTAAACCTTTTTTTGTGCAGGCTTAAAGTTCTGTTTCTAAATCTGAGGTTCTTTCAGTGCACTTCTTCTCGCCTCCACTTGCAGCTCATCCACCATTATTAACGCAGAGCCAGGGGCCCAGCACTAAAGCCTTCATATTTCACCCCTAGTCCACAGCTCGCCTGCCTTTACAAATTGTTAGCACTGTAAAATTCAGCCAGGCGAACCATTACAATATCTTGCCCTTCTCGAGTCTCTGCACAATTGAGGTAAGCAAGCTCTGTCGAGCCATGTTATAGATAATATAAATATGGAGCCTTATTATGAGATATTTTTGCCTGCTTTCCTCAGCCCTTTTAGAGTCTTTTGAGCTTTTACTCAGTGCAAATTATTTGTTTGCGTAAAGATCTATACTAAAATGTAGTCAGCTACTTTTTGTCTGGACAGGAAGCTGCTGCCCTGTTTTCACCTGGTATTAAAGGAGTCATGAACTGCCCCTGTTTTTTATTTTGTACTGTTCTCTGCTCCGTTTGAATAAGTGTGGCAGATTGTAGACTTGGAAGTAAACGCCCACTGCTATGATTGGCACACTTGTGTATGTTTAACAGTCCGTGTCCTTCACAGATGGGCGCTGCTGTGATTTAGGTTAAAAATGCATAAATACTCATATCAAACGATCCGTTTAACAGGCAAAGCAACAGTGATCATGTAATAAAAACAGTTACTTACACGTGTGTTGCGACATTACTGTCAGATCCAATATAGCCTAGTCGGCACAGCATTGTCTTTTAGTTTCAATCTTTTTGAAAATCTCGTTGTGACGAGTGGGGGCGGGGCCGAGAGCCATGGGAACGGAGCGAGGCCGGTGGAGTAATTGATAATGAGAGACACCTGCATCACTCACCGGTCTCGAGTCCCACGGAGGAGCTCCGGAAGGATAAAAGGAGGAGCTACGACAGTGAAAGAGGAGAGAGGACCAGGCCTGGATTTTATTTTGTGTTTGGTGTGCGGCAGTCGTCCGCGAGGGGCTGCCGCTTTACTTTCATTTTGTGTTTGTTTATTTTATTAAAGTCTTAAATGTTCGCCGGTTCCCGCCTCCTTCTTCCCGTGACTACGAACTTTGTTACATTGGTGCCGAAACCCGGGAGGAAGGAGGGACACGCTGTCAGAGAGCCCTCGCTGCTAGGGGGGGTCGCGGTGCTGAGGAGATCGGGCAGCAGGAACAAGCGGAGAGACCGCCGGTGGCTGCCCGAGGCGGTGGTGCTGGAACGATGGAAGACGAGGTGGGACGGAGAGCTCGCTGCCGCGCTCCTGGGTCGAGGAGGGGTGGCTGCCACCTGAGAGGGAGCGGAGGAGTCGGTCCCGTTTGTCAGGAGGCCGGAGCCTGCTGCCATCCGCCATGATTGGGGAGGAGCAGGGAACGGGGGACTCGCTGCCGGCTGCCCTCAACAGGAGGAGCCATTGCCATCCGCCAGGAGGCTGAGGAGCGGTGGGCTGTCCACCAAAGATGTCCAGTACCATCGCATGGCACCGCGAGTGAGAGCCTCTCAGCCAGTTGAGGACAAAGCGGCAGTGTGTCCGGGAACCGGAACGATAATTATTATAATTTTTTTTTTACATTTAAACAAAACTTTAATAAAATAAACAAACACAAAATGAAAGTAAAGCGGCAGCCCCTCGCGGACGACTGCCCTCTCGGCCCCGCCCCCACTCGTCACACTCGTGTCGAATTGTGCCTTGTTTGTAAACGGATCCATGGTAAAATGAAGTGAACAAAATACTGAGTTCTTACTAACACGGTCTGGAACTTCATTAAAAATAAAATTCCTCCACTCTTTCCTAATGTGTGGATCAGAAGCAAGGCGATGCAAAGACTGTTTTTACCACAACTTGGCATTGTACAGTGTCTTGTCTTCAGAGCATCTTTATTGTTTGGTTTCTGCGTAGACTTGTGTGTTCGCCTCTCTTGTAAATACTACATGCGTGAATCGGTGGGCGGGGCTAAAAAGGCAGCGATGTAGAAGCAGGCGTTGATCTTCTTCTGCGGAGGTGGAGTTTAGCCACACTGTTACATCATAGAGTTCTACATTCCACAAGCTGTCGTTTTGGCAGACTGGATTCAATATAAGCTGTTTTTAGACTAATGAGAAGGTTTTGCGTTCTGAAACTTACAGGATGTTTTTATAGTACAGTGACCTCTTATATGTCAAAAGATCAAGGGAATTTTGGTTTCTGCAGTTCATGAGCCCTTTAAGGGTCTAAAATGTTGAGCTCATCTACTTTACACCACTTCCAGAAGTAGTCGAAAATGCATTCAACCAGACTGCTTTCATAGACATTTGTCATTAAAATAACACCATATCGTCTGGTCAAATCCATTTGTACAGACACAAAAGACTGCATGCTACTGACATAATATGCAATCATTGTGAGACGCATTGTGAGAAACTTGCACCAAACACGAAACAGCACACCAAAACAAACGATTCAAAACACACAGTTTTCTTTATCCTTTTCTTTGCTTAAGTGCAAGTAAATGCAATGTATTCAGGCAAATAATTGCATGCAATTCAATGAAAATGTATTATAGTTCAAATTTATGCTAAATTAAATTAGTTGCAAACTGGTTTTGTTTGACCCACTTAAGTAAATTTTTGTATAATTATATAATTATCTTTTAAATAAGGTTAATGTGTCGAATGTACACTGTAAAAAGTGGTAACGAAATTGTTACCTTTAAGAGACACTTTTACCTCATTTAACCCATAATTATTAGTTTTGTTAGTGTAAATGAATGTATTTAGGTTGATTGAGTGATGCTAAATAATATTTTGAATAAAACTAGTTAATTTAAATGTTATCATTTTTCTCAGTGTACTGATGAGCGTTTATAGTAAACTAAAACTTCGATGTAATTAAAGTAAAAAAAAAACGATTATCAAGTTGTTTACATGTGCTTTTAAATTTTAGTCAAGACATCAAAGTATACATCTTTAAAGCATGACAAAAGATTATTAAAAAATAAAGATTTTAAATGTACTTTAATTTAATTTAAATAACGTTTTAAAAGTGTACTTAATGTGTTAAGAAGCATAGTCATGAAGATATTTTCCTTTTAAGTACACTTAATTTTTGTTTCATTATTTTAAATTAACTGCATTTTTTAAAATAATCTTTTA